TTCATTTTGTTCGCATGTAATCTTGTTTGTGTGAATGTATTATGTCATCACACTTGTTTCAGTAATGTAAGCAATCAGGAAGCACTCATAAAGCAAACAGAAAATTATAAAGGCAAAAATGTATTTCATTACTGTGGAGTACAACAAGCAAAAAGACATGATTACAAGACCTAATCTGGCCCTTAGGTGGGCCGACTTCCTTGTCCTAGGGCTGGTCGGCTCAGGGTTTGTCCGCAGTGTGTCCCGAACTTTCTGCTCGGGAGGCTGCCATTTCATCATCCTCCCACGCCATAGACATAAATGTGTCTTGCCAGTCTGCCGGGAGGTCGGACATGTCAAGTCATGGATTCTTCGATCGCAGGGCATAAATAGAATCAATTGCCCATTTGGCAGCCTTCTCCTCGACCTTCGCCGCCTAATCCTGCATCTCTTGCATTAAGGAGGCAACTCTTTCTTTACTTTCCTAAAGTTCAACTTCAAGAGCTTGCCTTTCCTTCTCGGAGGCGTCCCTCTCTTGCTCTATTCGTAAAACCTGCAGAGAGGTCACTTTGAGCTCCTGGTCCTTCTCCCCAACCTCCTTAGAGAGTCTAGCTATGGTCCTTTGTAGCTCTTTTACTTCCTTTCCCTGCTTCTTAAGCTGCGCTTTCTGGAAATCTACCGTGCGAAGAGCCGCGTCTCTTTCGTTCAGAAACTTGTTCATCGACTCAGAAGACAGGTTTCTCTCTGTTTTGGTAGCTTCCAGGATTCGCTTGAGCGTTATGTTCTCTTTCTTCAGAGCAACACCTCCCTTTGTGGCTCCTAGTTAGACCTTTTTCATGAACATTCGCATGGAAAGAAGAGCCTGTGAACAAAGAAAGAAAAAGTTAGCTAATCAAAAGAAGCTAAGGGAAGTTCTCGCCGAGGACAGTTCGCTCACCTTGCTCAAGTGTTGGACTGATGTGGACATTAGATCCACGTCGCTGGAACTTGTAAACTGCTCGAAAGATTCCAATAGTCCGCATTCCAATAGGGCGTATACCACCGGCTGCAGGTACTCTAGCAGGTTCCCCAGTGAGTCCAACATGGGTTACCCTTCGTCGTGGCCTCAACAGCCGTCGTGTCGTCCATAGGCGCCTTGCCCGACTTACTCGCATCCGGCCGCGACCTCTTTAATTGGTCACCTTCAAATTCGGTCTCTGATTCTTCGACCTGAATCTGTCTCCTCTTCTTTTGCTAGGCCGTTGTCTTCAGCCTAGGCCGAGCAGGAGACTGCTTGGAAGCCTTCATTTTTCGTGTTGGTACATCCTCTAATGGCTGCGCCTGAGGAGTTTCGGAAGGTCGCGCTGGTGGGCTCGACGTCGCACCTTCAGCCGGTTGAATTGTCGAAGCAACTTCGGCTGCTTTGGCTTTCTTTGTCCTAGGGAAAGTGACCTGCCTTCGTGGAGGCTGCTCTGACTCCTTCTGAGGCATGGTCGCTACATGCAAAACATCGTTAGCAAAATATCTAATTTCATGACCAGAAAGGGGTTAGTTAGCAAGACTTACTTAATGTGGGTTCTAGCGACACGTTTGCGTTGAAAAAACCGTATTTTCGCAAGCTCGTGGTCATCACGAGTTTCCTCGCGTCACGCTGATCCTCTGGTAGGGAGCTGAAATGCATGATCCTACGTCTATCGAAGAGCAGCCCTAGGTCGGTCGTCTTGTTAACTGTCAGAAAAAAACCAAGTCGTTAGAAAAGCACATTTAAAAAAAAAAAAAAAAAAAAGAGCCTACTCGGATCTTGGAAACGGCAATGGCGATCATAACGAAAGAAGAAAAACTTTGTTTCATAGGCACCCGCGTTACTCGGATAGTTATGTATCCCATCGGCGATAGTAGGTCGCCTGGACAAGTAGTAAGAATCCTTGTCCTTACTCTTCTTCAAATAATAAGAGTAGCCGACCTCCATCGCGGTCAGCTCACCCAGTCCGTTCTCTTGGCACGCGATATACATTGCAACAGCAATGACGTACGCATTCGGGGTCAACTGCATAGGCACAACCTCGAAGTGGTCCAAAAGCTACCTGATAAAAGGGTGGAAGGGGATCAGTCCCCCACCCTTGATGATCTCCTCGAAGATCGCGGCCAGACCGCTTAGCGGGTACCGCGATGAGTGCGCCACGTCAAGGAAAGCATCCACCTTGATAGCGTATTGCTTTATTACCCTCTCGAGCTCTTCCTCGGTGAGCACCGAGAAGACCTCGATAGGGATGTTTGGAGCACCCTGTGGGGGCGAGCTGATTCCCTGTTCGGATCTGGTTGTTGAGGGGTCCATTTTGTCGGTCTGCAAAAGCGACAAGTAGAAGAGTCATTTAGCCATCGTACGCTATTTCATACGATGACGTGAGAGGAAACGAACTCCCAAAATCCCAAAGAAAACCCTAACAACATGATTCGAGGCGCCATTCATGGCTCGAACCAGACCTAAGCATCTCGTCTCCGATAGGCTACCGGAAGACAGACGCCACTCAACCATGGAAAATAGTAAAACAGAAGCAGGGAAAAGCCCTTACCGTACGGAGTGTGAGAATAACTTCCGCTTCGAATGCTTGAAAATGCTGGTTTGAAAGGCAGAAATTCCAATTTTGCGCAAATCTTTTACTCTCTAAAAAAAAAAAGGCTCTGGTGACATTGCCTGAGAATGACTCGAGGTCTTTATAGCATATGAATCAGCGCTTGGGTTTCTCAGAATCGAAACGACGTTTGGGCGGCAAAGGTTTCTCAACATTGATCACAGCCACTTGTCGTGCATCAACGGGGAAGAGTGAACATCACGACTGGATAAAGTCAGACCTTCATCTCTTCCGTTGAAAAGCCCAAACGACGGCCATTCTCTCTCTCTCAGAGCATTAATTGCGTTTCAAATCCACATTTAATGCTCTGGGAAGGGGCGTCGTTCCAACATACTGCGCATTTAATGTCTTGGTAAGGTGTACCGTGTCAGCGTACACCACATTTAATGCATCTGGCTGGCACCTATCACGCACAGGGCATGTCTGTCAGCACAGGGACTACTTCATTAAATGCACCCATGGCAAAAGGACAACAAGCGACGTCTGACGAAACCAGGTTGTTCGTCCCCTACAAACAATGGACATGCGAGATCGTTCTCAAAAAAGTTCCATCCCGACCTACTTTCAGGCAGGTCGGGATTTCTAGAATTTTCAGAATTTCTAGAATCTCCAGGAATCATCCAATTGCGGCATGGCTTGTAGTTTCCAAGGTTCGGTTCTCAAACCTTAAAATTAACTATTGGACTTCTGTTACGCCTGGGAACTTAGGGCTAATGTGGCACCCAGTTATGTGCGCAAGGTCAGACCTCGGGAAGAGCCTACTGCCATTCTGACGCAGTTGCTTCGTGTGATCATGGTGGCAACCACAACTTGCTTCCGTCAGAGTAATGGGTACACGTTAGGCCAGCAAGGAGTTGTGATGACCCCGCGTGTCCAACCCCTGCAGTAAATCACATGAATTACTCTAAACGAAGGATTTGCACGGATCATCCCACCAACTTGCAGATTCAATGATGATTACCTCAAGGCATCCCACTATAAAATGGGAGCTCCTCTCTCATTAAAGGGATTGGCACATTTTACTCTCAAAAACTCTCTCTCTCTCTCTCTCTCTAGAAAAAGACATTCTTTGATACCTTGTATCATCAGTGTAAAGTCAGTCAGTCATCTAAAGCGACCTGACTCTTACCATTAATAAAATATCAGTGGACGTAGGATTTGCTTCCTTAGCATCCGAACCACTTTAAAACTCCTTTCTTACTTCATTTACTTTCATCTTTCCAAACCATTCACGTGTGTCTTTTAGGAGCCAACTCGACATTTCACACGTGCTTTTCATTGGTGTCCAAATCACGCATCAACCAAGAAAAACAATTAAATGATGAACTAGTATAAAGAAATCCACGATTTACTCAAATCCAAAAAGATATAGTGCACGAATTTGGTAAGAAAATTTAAAGGCTTACATTAAATTAAAGTGCAGTTTTGATTGACAATAACAAAAACCATCAGCATTTCATCGCCCTTGCAATTTGCAAATACCACCTTCTTGCCGCTTATCTCCATGACCATGGCAACCAGCACCTAGTGGGGCTCATATTCGTAGTTGGAATCCTCGTTTGATCATAATAACCGAAAACAGAATTAATGCACAGTTTGAGCCAAGCTAAGTAGAAGCAAAAAAAACAGCAGCAAAGAAGGAAATATATGCCCATGGAGTGTTAAAATAATCATGCCTTAAGTGCGCTATCCATTTGTGATGCTTTTGGCCACAATGCTCATTCACCTTGATGAATATATCGAAGTAATAGTTGTCAGGGGAAAGCGTGACAAATCACCAATGCTATTGAACATGTTGGCAACCATTTTATCGTCGCCCAAACAATTACGGAGACTATTGCACTGACAAAGTAATTCCACATCAATTTGAGAGTTGACGAGGCAGTACATGAATTTCATATAATCACTTATGACTTTGTCTATTATTAGTATTATTTTCATCTATAGATCGAGTAATGCTCATAGACATTGAGATTTCAGAAGATAGGCTCGGTTTCTCCTGTAATTTCCAATGGTGGGATTTCCATTACTCCATTTTCAAACTTTATAGCGAACAAGCTATCTTTCTTAATGTCCTAGTGATATGACTTTCATAATTATCCATACTAATATCATCACATGATAGTTAATGGACGCACTCAACATGTCTATTGCCTAGTATACAATGTTGTTGCCCAGTTAACATTACTTACTTAGGAAATGCTTCAATGATTTGATATTCTGAAGATCCGTATTATCCGAACATTTCATATGCATTATAAATAATATAAATAAAACAATAAAAATATGTAAAATCATAACTCTTTCTTTTATTAATAAAATATTTATAAAATTAAATGTCTTGGAACCGACAACACAATTGATTCCTATAGCATACACTAACACTACTACCGCTTAGGGACCTCAATATTTGGAGGACTTGCCATTTATTTATAATAAGCGAGAGCAGAATACACAGTTTGAGTCAAGGTAAACAGAAGCAACAGAACAGCAACAAAGAAGGAAATGAAAGCCCATGGACTGTAAAAATATTTGTGCCTTAAGTGTGCTATCCATTTGTGACGCTTTTGGCCACAATGCTCGTTCACCTTGATGAATATATCGAAATAATAATTGTCAGGGGAAAGCGTGACAAAATCACCAATGCTATTAAACATGTTCGCAACCGTTTTATCATCGCCCAAACAATTATGGAGAATATTGCACTGACAAAGTAATTCCACATCATTTTGAGAGTTGATGAGGCAGTCCATGAATTTCATATAATCACTGATGACATGTCTACTCTTAGTATTAATCTCATCACTGATGACATGTCCACTCTTAGTATTAATCTCATTTGTAAAGTAATTCTCATAGACAATGAGATTTCGGAAGATAGACTCGGTTTCTCCTCTAATTTCTAATCGTGGGATTTCCATTACTCCATTTTTAAACTTAATAGCAAACAAGCTATCTTCCTTACCTTTTCTAAACTTGACTCCTGCCTCCTTAAGCTCTGTGGCGCAACGCATGAACTTCAAATCTTTCCTATTGTTTTGAGATGGTTGAGGTTTGATCGGCCCAGTGCCACAATTTATGGACCCCGAATAATTGCCGCAACTTATGGACCCCCAACAAATTTCTTTTGCGCTATCATTCCCTCCACTAACTTTCTGAGGACAGCGTAGAAGCCATTTATCACGTATAAAGCTTAATAGATGCTTCGTTTCTGATGAACCTTTCCTGTCGCTTTCAGAATAAATTTTCGAGAGCCGTGGATCGGGAAACACAGAATAAGAGAAGAAATGCAAAATCATATCCTCGAGACTACTGTTCCCTTCTCTATCAATCATGCTAAACAACTTTTGAAGAACACAGAAGGGGAGTTGATTTTCAACTAATAACAAATCACGGCCCAATCTCTTGATGATCAAACCCGAAAATAAATTGCCTCTTTCTTGGTTATCATTACTGTCTGTCCGTGGCATCAGCTTTTCCTTAAACCTGTGAAGTAGCATAAGGATGAAGCAACCATCAAGCAACATCATTTTAAGAAATTCATCAGATATTATATCTGCAGCACGATCTGCATAATGATTACGAGCTTCTCTTTCCAGAGCCCTCAAGGCTTCGACATACTTTTTCACATCTTCTTCCCGTTCACTTCTTCGTTCGAGAAAGTGTTTCAAAAACCGCATTTTGTGGTCTTCCATCATCGAAAAGTCTTTCTTATCTCGGTGATAAGGGCCAATTGCAATTATGAATGGATCATAAGCATTCGGATTCACGGAGCGTAGATGTTCAGGTACTTTAAATATATTGCCATCAGTGGATGTTGGAGTTAGACCTTTTAGCCGTTTAACAATATCGTCAATACAAATCGATAAACCATCACTTGTTCCATTAGCCATCGCCTTCTCTTATCCTATTGCCAGCATTATATTAGAATTATCATAAATAGCAAAGTTATTATGTTAAAATAGCAAATGAAAAATCCTAACAACTATGAATCGAATTTGTGTATATATATGTGTGTATGTGAGAAATCCCGGATATTAAGTGGTTGAACTAAATGAAAATAAATTCAAAACATAAATAAACTATAAGTTAAATAAATAAATTAGTAAATTGGTGCCGTTTGTATAGTGGAGGGTTATTTACTCAGCTCATAAGTTTGGTATTACTGTGTATTATACAGTATTGATTTTCAACTAATAACAAATCACAGCAACTATAAAAAATAAAAAATAAAAAATAAATAAAGAATTCTAAAAGAATCATAATAAGTGTTATCTCTTATATGAGTTTTAGTTTTCACACCTTACATTATAAAATTTGGAGTATATCATTTTTTATTACATTGTTAATGAGCTTATTGTACTATATTTTTTAAATATTGATATTCTTGTGGTGCTGAAAAGAGTTGGCTTTTCTTACTATATTTTGAACTTTTCTTTAATTAAATTTAGCACATTTCTCATACAGATTACCATCACAAAACTATTCAATGATCATAGGGTGAAGCTAGGTAATAAATTGTGGCACAAGTGGCCAAATGTAAACTAAAAACTACAAACAAAACAAAATACCTGAAAAGAAACACACTCAGGAAGGATACAATTTTTTTTTTTTTTTATTTTTTTTATTTTTATTTTTTTTTTAAGACAATTGACAATCAATTGCTAAATTAAAACAAATTGTTGTAAATACCCTAATGTTAGCTTAATGCGATACTTATAAACAATATACAATAAAAATAATGAATTTTATAAAGGATTTTCAAGAATAGATTTTAGCAATTTTTAAAACTGGGAGAACAAAAATGAGGACACATGTTTATAAAAGTAATTAAAAGGGACATAAGTTTTCAAAAAGACAAAGAAAATAACACTTAACTAATAACTATATAAGACCGTGTTATTTAATAAAAAAGTGATTATAATATTGAAAAGTTTATTATACCCTCATTGATTATATTTTAAGATATTGACCATGTTATATGGCTTTCAAAATATATAAATAACAATTACCTTTTTTATTATAAAAATTCTAAAAATTAAAATTAAAAAACTATTTCAATTAATTGATTTTGCATTGATTTGCAAATTATGTTGTATTTTAGCATGTCTAAGGCTCTCCAATTTTTTATTTAAAAAATTATATCATGAAATGTAATTTTTATAAAGATTTTGAGATTTTATATTTAATTATTTTATAGATTGTGCAATGTAATACACAGATTAAGTATTAGTTTTTGATGAAAATTACTGAACTTTTTTAACATAGAATTTGACATGTTTCTTTACATGTAGGAGTGAGCCTAAATAAATCACTTTTTTTTTTTTTTTTCATATTTTAAATCGATTATCAATGTCTATTATAAAAAAAAAAAAATAAAAAAACCTCATTTTTTTAGCCAAACAACATGGAAAAAATTAGGCAAAATAAAATGTTAGACTTACCTTTTTATCTCTTGATGAGTTTTTTTTTTTTTTTTTTGGGTTCTTTTCTTATGTGTTGGGGCTTTTAACACATGCTTATCTCTTAATGGTTATTAATATTTTTTTAATATATCTTTTGCCTTTTTATATTATATAATCGAATAGATTTTCATGCATACTATTTTTGAAGTTATATTAAACGGTCGTAAACCGTTAAGTGTCATATTTTTATCTTTTTGAACTAGTGTCCCGTTTTAATTGTTTTCACAACACGTGCCCTTATTTTTATTTTCTCCATTTAAAACCAAAAGCAGCTTATACAAAACCTCAAAAAAACCTAAAAGCAAATGAAAATTGTAAAATAATTATATATGCATAATCATAATTAAATTAGTAATCTAATAAAAGATGTGTCTATCAGGTTGTCGGTGTCATTGTCGGCACATCACGGATCAGAGGCCAGAGATCTGCAATCTAGGCAGATCTTGACCACCAAAGACTAGCATAGTGACATCATGTTCGATAGTTCTCCATCACGACAATTGCATGTGACCTCACGTTACCAGTCTTCGACAGTAGAATTCGCTCAAATCGACAGATCGGTTGTCTCTGATCATTCACACATTGGCGGTGACACCAACAGTGAGATGGAAACTGGCGGGCTGGTGACTTTGACCGGTGTTGACTGGTTTGAAATTTTTTTTTTTTTTAGTTTTTAGTTTTTTTAATTTTGAAATTTTATATTTAAACAAAAAATAAAATTATATTTATTACATAAATTAAATGAAAGACATTTTTGTCTAAAAGCAACAAATTATTTTCTTTTTCATCAAAATTCTTCAATATAAACAAAGAAAGTAATCTCATTTTACTTATTCATAGTACTTTCATTCTATCAATTTCTAATCCACAAATCAAACATGCCCTAAGTTTATGATATAACTACAATAAAATATTTAACATATGGTGTGGAAAGTATCAGTCACTTACTTGTTAAGTTGTTTGAGAATGATAGCCTCTTCTAGCCGTCTAGATCTGGGAGCTTCCTTGTAAATCGATTTCTTCACTTTCTATACTGGAAGAAAATGCTGGAGAAATTATGTGACGAGCCTTCATTTTATTATTACTGGAGGACAAATAAAAGCTTCCACCTGCAGATGTAGGGCCCAAAAAATTAATACAATTAAAAATCTTCTTAAATGCTGACAGAGACACAGTGAGAATCTAACCTAAACATAAAAACACGTAGAGCAAACGACATATTCTCATCAAGATGAGCGAAATGACAAGTTCCACCCCTGGTATAATAGCTTCGTTTGTTTTATTATTTTAGATAAAATTTTAAGAATAATATTGGATAATTAAGTAGAGTTATTATTACAAGAATATGATTTAAAGAATATATGTTTGGTAAAATATTTTAACATTATTATTTGTGTTAAATATTTGATTGATGTATTTTTTTATAAATGATTTATTAATATAATATTTTGGTACATTTTGTTAAAATAATGCATTATTATAACCTTAAAATTTATCAATTTACATTTTAATAATATTAAACATTTTATTGGTAATTTCATAACCAGTAAATATTAAAAAACAAAAACCTATATTAATTTCAAGTACTAATCCAACTGTTTAAAAACATCACATTAATACATATGACAAAAATACTAATTATCAACCCTTACAATCGTCCTTACACGTATACTCCATTAACAACTACGACATGGTCATATGTGTTGCCCACAGTGCATTCGTTATGTTATGCCGTACAGTCGTCATGTTGTCTATAGTACCTTGTTGCAGTTAACTCAGTCATTCTCTATTTTGGCCATCATCAGCCTTGTTTTGACAATCACAATATACTTGCTCATTACCTATATTTTCAGTATACTGTTCGAAGATAGGGTCCTCCATATTGTACATTCTGATTAAATTATGAAGTACACACATACCATAACAATCTTCCCTTGTTTGTCCAACGGGTAATTGTTCATTCCATTGAGAATACAGAACTGTCTTTTCAAAACACCAAAGGTTCCGTCAACAACATTGCGTAGTGAAGCATGTCTGTAGTTAAACAATTCTTGTGGCCCCCTTGGGTTACGGCAGTGATCAGAAATATGGTAAGCCACTCGCCTATGAGGGGCAAGGAACCCTTCTCTATTTGGATAAACCGCATCAACCAAATAGTATTTCCTTGTAATAAAATCAGACATGTTATTTGAATTACAAGGCCTCAACAGTGGAGCAAATATGCTATAATATGTCAAGAAAATACTTATACCTAGTGAAGGATGTGGGAATCCAGAATTAGGATCATCAAGAATTGAATTTAAAACTCTTGAATCATGTGTAGATCCTTCTCATCCAGTAGTGACATAAGTGAACATCATCCTAAAGTCACATACAGCCATTACATTCTGTGATAACGTTCCTTTGCGATTCCGGTACCTATCACCAAATTCATGTGGAACTAAAGCGTATACATGTGTGCTATCAATGGCTCCAATACAGTCCTATCATCAAAATTGAATTTTACTCATATCAACCGACTATCAACATTAATAACACAATGAACTTAACTATCCACTAATAGAAAACATAATGAACTAGTACCTTAAAGAAAGGGTAATATTTTCGGTTGGCTGATATTTCCCATGGAACATCACTGAAGTCGGGTGGTCTGATAAACTTTGTCTTCAACTCACATATCACCTTGCAAACTGCGCTAACATATCTGGAGATCGTCTCACTCGAATGTTGGAAATCCTCCATCATCATTCTGATTGTCTCGTTTTTACCAACGCTTGTTAGAAATATCATAACTTGTTCTTCCAAACTCGTCTTCTTGGTTGGTCGCAATTTGTCTTGCTGTGCCAAAATGTCACATAAGTATGTAAAACAGACTTTGTCCATGTGGCACTTGTCAAAGATCCGGTCAGCATGACCATTGAGTACTTCCAACATGTACTCATGACCAGTTGATATGGATGTATGTTGTAGTTGACGTCCAGTTGTTTCTAATGTGGCGACACTGCAGAGTGCAATGGCTATATCTGTCAGTACTTCTTCTTCGTCATCTTTCGAACGCCGTCTTCTTCCTGTACAGCTAGATGATGCCATTTAAACCTGCACATTTGCAAAACATTGATCAACAATTAACAGTTGTTGTACTACTTAGCAAAATATAACAGTCAATATTTAATTCTAAATGACAATCCAAAACTCATATGAAACATGTATTCTCATATAAAACAGTAGCACAATTAATAAGTTCATATAGTAGCACACATTTGGGGACATTTTCAAATCAAGGTGCTGAACAAAAGTTTGGTTTAGCCATAAAAGCACAAGTGCCCACTGACACATACAAAAGTGTTGGCAAACACTTAGGACATACAATGTCATCTACAAATTGCGAAAGTCGTTATAAATCCAATTAGCCTTTTCCTCGGGCGAGAGTTTCAAAAATATCTCCTGCCAACCTGGATTTTGATATAAGTACTTGACAACCAGCATGTAAAACTCTGTGGGTACTTACATGGCCGTCATGATGTCAATCCAATTGCTCAAGGAAAACGGATCAGATGGACCATTGGTGTTCTATTCGTCCCTTTCATCTCCACTGCGATTGCTAGCCCTCGAACCCATACTCCGCCTCTCCACAAGCTCGTCCGTCAATCTACCAATGACATCTGTAAGTGATTGTCCCGGCCTCTCGGGCCACTTCTGGTCCTCATATTTCTCGCTCTTCCATGGCCAGATATGTTTTCCCATCTTTCCTCTGTCGTCCGATCTGGATCAGGTTCAAAGTCGTTATCATCCATGGCAATCGCGCCCCGATTGGAATAAGTTGAGGTCTCCAATGGTTGAGATGTAGATGTGTACGCATATCTCCCAGTGGTAGTTTGCTTCTCAAATATGATTTCATAAAGCTCCTTGTAAGGAAGTCCCTTGTGGTAGAATTGTTGCGCCAGTAGGTTTTGCTGGTAATGCAAAAGAATAATATATTAATATTTGGCAGTCCGAAAAAAAATGCTTACAAATATGGTGACGTTGATTAATATTAGTTAAAAAAATTGAAAATTTACCTTGACATATTCTTGCCAAACCTCTACGGGACACATTGGACTTTGTGACTCATGATCCCACCCGAACCCCGTGTGTTGCAGTAATTTCTGCCATGCTTGATGTACTCTTTGCAGGCGAAAGTACTTACAGGTTAGTTGTGTGACGTTGAGTCTCCTCCCAGCCATTGATGATAAGTCATCCAACATTTCCTAGTAATCTGCTGTTTTTATTTGAAGTACTGTGTGAAGTTTTTGCCCGCTTAGACAACAAAACCAGAAATTTGTCAGTCATCTCAGGGGACCAATTCACAGTATCATTCATCTAAGGACAGTACGGTGAGAACGATAACCAAGATTGGGACACCATACCAATCACCAATCACATTACTAACAGACATATGCACATGTAAACGTAATCAAGTAAACACAGATAAACCGTTACCTCGTTCGATCTGACATTGCTTGAAGACGTCAATGTAGGGGAAGATACAGGCAGTGTCGACCAACAAGGTGTATGACGAACTCAAAGTCTGGAAAAACATCGAAACTTTCGCCTCTACTGCAAGTAGTAATCAATCCTGCGACATCAGAACAAATTATACTGACATTTGTGCATATGAGCGTAATTTGTTCTTACGATAAAAGAACTATGTCGAATCTATAGAACAAATATATCAATTAGTAAAATCCCAAAAAAAATATTTCCAATAATCAAATAATTTTTTACTCCCAAAATTTATCCATTACGTACAGCATGTTACATACATAATATATGAAGTAGCACAATATTTTGACGCATGTGCTAAACACTGTAAGCAACATGGCACGTGCTCTAACCGTTAAACCCCGCAAACAAATCCACCAGATCCAAGTATCTCATGTGTAGAAATCACTTTGACTCTACCAATTATTAAAGTCCAAATTAAAAGGAATAATGAAAGGAAAAAAGAGTACTAACACAAAGCCAAAAATAAAATAAAAATCAAGACAATTGCGTCTCTGGATGTCTTGAAAACAAACATGTTAGGGAAGCTCACAAACTTGATTCACAAACTTCGCGTGTCTCTTTCCCTTCCCTGAATATTTTGGCCCGATAACAATCAAACAGAAGCTCACAAATTATGTGCAAATCTTTTGTACAAGTGATTTACAAACCTGCAAAACAAAAAAAATAAAAAACACGTTTCCCTTCACGGTGTTCCCTTCACAGTGTTCACAGAAGTCAGATCGGCGACATCAGGGCTTCACAGTGATAGATCTGCGACGTTGGTGGGTATTCATGATGGTTTTGTGACGATCGATGACGTCGAGGCTTCACAGTGACAGATCTATGACGTCGGTGGGTATTCGTGGTGGGTTTGTGATGATCGGCGATGTTGGGGCTTCATAGTGACAGATTTGCGACGTCGGTGGGTATTCGTGGTGGGTTTGTGACGATCGACTTTAAATCGTGGCAGATCAACGATGGTGGGTCACTGTGAATGGTTTGTGATGATGGTGTTGTTTTGTGATTATGGTGGCAGTGGATGATGGTTTGATTTCGGTTGGTTTGTGTTGTGATGATGGCGACAGATGGTGATGTGTGGTTGCGGTGGGGTGGTAATGCAATGATGGTGGAAGATGGTGATGGGTCGTGGCCGTGCGGTTCTGTTGTGATGATGGTGGAAGATTGATTGGGTGGTGCTCTGGGGTGGTTTTCTGATTCAGGTGGCTGGTCGTTTGGCCAATGTGCTTTGTTTTGTATTTGCAGGTGGAAGATTGTGTTGGAGAAGAATTTGTTGGAAGGGTAGCAAGATGGTTTGTGACGGTGGTGAAGCACTAAAGCAATGAACCAAACCGAGAAAATGAAATAAAAGCAGATAGGACTGCCAACTGTCTTCAACGATCAAAAAACTATCAGGATACCTGTCAGGATTCTATTTTCAGGATTGTATTTTCTGAATAATAAACCAAACATTATTCGTAAAATCGGGTTGAGATTATCGGTAGAAATAATCAGCCAAATGAAGCCATAAATTTAAGATCTTCACCTTTAAATTAACAGAAAATCATTTAATGTAACTGCTAAAGGGTAAAATAGTCTTTTGTTCTATATTAAATCTTAAATTAAATTGAAATGACAATGAAAATTTTAAAATAGGCCTCCACATCTCAAAGGGTAAAATGGCTGGATGGTGGCTTTGGGTGAGAAATTTTGTCAAACAGGTGGTGGTCGGGTTGGCTGTGGGAAAGTTGAAAATGATAGGGAGTCGCTAGCGACCAGACATAACAAAGCAAAGTGAACTGAAGGATATAAATAAAAGAGCACTTCATCTTCATTGGAGCACCAAATCAAAAGAAGAGAAATCATTCAATTTTTAATTCACCAATAAAAAATGGCTCTAGCAATGGCAATGGCACCAGGAGTCATGAAGAAGAATAACAACAACATTAAAGAAAGTGAAGAAGAAGATCTAAAAAATATATATAAGGCAATTTATGAACATGTAGATTAGAAATTCTATTAATACAAGATAATAATTTGTTATATATATATTAAAGAAAGAGAAGAAGAAGATCTAAAGAAGAGAAATGAAGAGCTCGAAAGAGAGTTGAGCTTCAGAAAGTTCTGGAACGATTGCGTTTGGCAGAGGAAGCTGAAGAAATGCTATGTTCATAGCTAGGTGAACTTGAAGTAGAGGCCGTAAATCAGGCGCGTGACTATCGCTCTCAGATTGTCTCTCTTGTGAGCAAGCTATCCAAAGAACTTCTGCCATTACTGTGTAATTTTATTTATTCTTTTTTCGTTTGTGATTCCTGGAAAAAAAAAAAAAAAAAAAAGCTTCTCTAGAGCTTATGAACGTCGGTCCAATCATGAGCAGAAATTTTATTTCTGGTAATTTGAATGTTAAAGGATTTGATCTGTGCTGTGTGGTGTGGTGCGGTGTAATTGATTCGTGCTCACTGGACTTGAGGCCAAAGATGACGCCAGCCTCGTCATTGTGTTGTCACATGTCATTAGTTGAAATTTGTTGGGATTGTTGGTGATGTGTTGTTAGGTTTGTTGTTGATGAAGTTTGTTTGGATTAAAGAAAATTTAGAGTGTTGGGTGGGTTTGGATTGAAGAGGGTGTTGGTGAATGAATTTGAGATGTATAGGATTTTCCTGAAATTTTATTAATTTGGTAAGATGGTGACAGTGGCTGGTTGGCGGTGGGGGGTGGCGACAGTGGCAGTGGTTGGGTGGTTGGAGATTGGGACGATGTGAAGGTTGAGGAAGAGGGTGTTACTGAAGTAAATTTGAAAGTAACATAGTTATTATTTTAACTCTACAAATTTGGGAGGTCAAAAATAATTTATTATTTTATTAGTCAAGGGATGTATGATAATAGCCTATTTGTACCTGTATTTGAACCTAAAATTTGTTAACTATGTTAATTTAAGGATGAAAATCTGGAATTTACAAAACCAGGAGTGAGAACTTGCCATTTCGCTAAACCTTGGGTGGGATCATGTCGTTTACTCTAACACGTAATTTGGGTCTCATTAATCATTCATGACGTATATATCATGACATAAGCACATGATAATGATTTGACGCAAATTGCAATTACAGCCACATTTTCTCAAATCGATAGACATCTACTGCATACCTCATGAATTACACCACCACCCCAGCATACATATTTAAAGATGAAATTATTTCTACAAAGTATTGGCATCTTGATCGACACCACCAAAGATACAGTTAATCAAAGTTCATCATTGCCATTATGATTCCCTGGTTTCATATTGAATTTTTACATTAATTTGGGGTGTAATCCAGCCGAGCCCAGTTGAGTTTTGAGTTAATCGAGCTCAGGTCGATTGTTACAGTGTCGAGCTCGAGTTTGAGTTTGAGCTCGAGCTCAAGCTTAGTGAGCTTGAAAAATCAAACTCGAACTCGAGCTCAACATCGTAAAGGGGTACTCGAACTCAAACTGGCTCGAGCTTGATGGAGCCAATCTAAATATCTTCTCTCCTAATAAGGAATTATCCTCTCCGGATTTCACGCACAACAATAGCCCCCCAGTTT